AATCTTCCTTCATTCTTTTCCTTATTAACTAATTACATATTAAGTTAAAGATGATTACTCTTCTTGAGTTCTTGGTGTATTTTTCTGTATATTCCCACAATCAAATAATTGTCACTGTATTTATGGCATTTGGCTGGGTCAAAAAAAATCTGAGTATCAGCTCCACTGAAAGCATTTGAATGTGTAAGAAAGCGTTACATGTAGTCCCGACCTACAGCCACAACTGACATCAGAATTTCCATTGCTAAGTAAAGAGGTTGTTAAGCGAGTCATGCCTTTTCTTGACGTGGAGGTTAAGCAAATCACTGCAATTGTTAAGTGAATTGTTAAGTGAGTCTGGCTTCCCTCATTGACTTTGCTCATCAGAAGCCAACTGGGAAAGTTGGAAGGCTGATCACAAGACCTCTGGACATTGCAACTGTGGTATAAATACACGCCAGCTGCCAAGTGCAAGGACCAATCATAGGTCACTTTTTTCAGTGCTGTTGTAACTGAACAGTTGCTAAAGAAATGGTTGTACATCAAGGACTACCTGTATTCATATTAATAAAGCAGAATATTTGATTGGGGTAATGCTCAATCTATGCTGATCTGGGTGGTGATTGCTGGTGGAGAGGTGCTGGAGACTTTTTGTTCTCTTTTGGGCTGGTTGATATCTCTTTTGCATAGTCTAATGATGATTATGTCTATATGGCTGATCTGTCAGAGTCAAATTTGTCTAGAAACTTGGCAGTTGGACAGATCAGTCATCAATAGACACGTAGACATTCACAACATCTAAAGACTATGCAAAAGAGACAATTTATTTTATTTATTTATTTTGTCAATTGCTTAAAAAATAATAGGTATAAGTAAAAACATAGTTATGAATACATGGATACATATAAGAAAAATAAAAAATAAAAATAAAAGAAACAATAGGACAGGGACATTAGGCACGTTGGTGCACTTATGCATGCCCCCTACAGACCTCTTAGGAAAGGGGTGAGGTCAATAGTAGACAGTCTAAGGTTAAAGTTTTGGGGGTTTGGGGAAGAAACCACAGAGTCAGGTAGAGTATTCCAGAAATTGACCACTCTGTTGCTGAAGTCGTATTTTCTGCAGCCAAGTTTGGTGCGATTAACCTTGAGTTTGTATCTATTGTGTGCTCTTGTGTTGTTATGATTGAAGCTGAAGTATTCATTTGCAGGCAGGACATTGCAATGTATGATTTTATATACTATATTTAGTTCGGACCGGAGGTGGCATAGTTCTAGGTTTTCTAGGTCTAGAATTTTGAGTCTGGTGGCATAAGGTATTCTACAACGAGTAGAGGAGTGGAGAACTCTTCTTGTGAAATATTTCTGGATTTTCTCAACTGTGTTAATATCAGATACGTAATGTGGGTTCCAGACTGATGAAACTGGTCCCTGGCACAAAAAAAGGTTGGGGACCACTGCTTTACAGAGCTTGGATCATCAACAAGGTCTTGACTATTCAGTCTGTATTTTATTTTCTGATTTTTTTTGACAACGTAGGACAGAGCATTTATTTGTTGAGATTTGAATTTGCCATTTGTTTGACCATTCTGATACATAGTCAAGGTCTTTTTGAAGGGTAGCAGTAACAATCAACCAGCACAAAACAGAACAAAAAGATTCTAACACCTCTGCACCAGCGGTTACCACCCAGATTAGCATAGATTAACTCCAGGGTTAACTTCAGACCAACAATCAAATAAGCAATACCCCTAATCAAGAAACTGCCAAAGAGCCATTAGTAAACAGCCCAACAAAACAATCCCTAAGACTGTCCCCACCCACACAGACTGGCAAGACACCAGAATATAAACTGACAGCAAACAGCACTCCTTACCAGCACTGATTTATGTTACCTAGTTAGGGTAATGAAATGTCTGTAAGAAAACAAGCAAGCTCAGAGAACACCAAGGACCTCTCAAATATTCATATTGTTGTTACATGTTTTGAAGATTTCACTTGCCTGTATTACAATAAAATTATTTTTTATGCTATTATATTTGAATTGAAAAGTTCGTTTTTATTCTGATTGTTTCTTAAATATAGTAATAGCATTTGCTTATACCTGCAACTGCAACATTGATTTCTGCTTTGTTTCCTTGTTTTAAGAATGTGATTTTTCCTGGGGCCGGAGATGAAGCTCTTTCAGAATATAAATCTGTTATATATTACCAAGTAAAGCAACCCCGCTGGTTTGAAACGATAAAGGTATGCTTGGCACTAAATTTTATTTTTAAAAGAAATTGATAAGAGAAATATAGAACCTCTTGGTATCCATGCCAGAGTAATCTTTCTGTGTTGCTAAGGTCTAGTATAGATGAAGTCCTTGACTGATCAAATTCTCCCTGACCCAGAAAGACAGATAGTTGTCATTTTTGGAATGTCACTGTGACCAGTATGCAAGACTCTTTGATCATATCCATCATAACTTAGCTTTCAGAATTAGTTCAATACATTGTAGTGTAGATGTGCCAAGCATTGTCTGATTCAATTATGTTGGATGAGTTTCAGTTGCTGAAATCAAAGTATGTTGAAAAGATACTTGGTCAGCCTTGACCAAACATTTTCATCTTTGACTCTTGACATTTTTAGTTTGCTATATTTAATGCAGAGAAACCTAATCTGAATCTAAAGACAAAACAACTGTTGCTGCTTTTGTTGCTCACAAGTCCAGAAATATTTGGATACAACTGATTGTTTTGAACCATTCAGCCCAGTTGCAAGTCTTATTTTGAAAGTGAAATTGTCTGTTTTTCTAGTGTGATTATTTGCTCTGAGAGAAGATGCAACCATGTTGAGTCACTTAGACCTCTTCTCCACCACCAAGGCTAAGAACAGCATACACTTGTAACTATATTCCATGCATCTGATAGGATGGGCTGAGATCCACAAACCTTCTGCGTCAATTCTTTTGCTAGTCTCTTAGGATGCCATAAGATTATTAATTTTAGATCTCTCCGGAGCTTTCAGCATCTTCCACTTATAATGGTCTGTCCTACATAGGCTGTTTTCGTTGCAATGTGGAGACATTATATACCACACTGAATTCTTCCCCTACTTGGTTGTCTATTTTAGAAAGTGATTTAGAAAGGTTATTATTGCGTTACCGACTAGTTTGGAAGCATTACTGCTCCAGACAGGAAGGCAGTGCAGAGAGTGGTGAGAATGGCAGAAAATATTGGCAGTTGGTTCTCTTCTATCCAAGACATAGCGTATAAGCCTTGCTTGAGCAGAGTCCACAGGATTGTCTGGGATGCGACACATCCTCTTCACGACTTGTTTTCCTTGTTACTTTCTGGGAGGCTTTGTGGTATCCAAAGCAGAACATCCAGATTCAGCCACAGTTTTGTTCCCTGCAGTATCAACCTTGTGAACTCTCAGGCTTCCTCTTTTCACTATGTATTCAAGATGGACAGTGATTAATATCTATATGTATTTATATGTTAGGGTGTAGATATGTATGTTTTTATAGCATATCTATATGTGTGTTATGTGGATGTTCCCTTTTGAGAGAAGGCAACAGAATTTCATTTTTAATGTGTGCCAGAGTGAAAAAGTGACAATAAAGGTTATCTTATTATTTTGCTCTGTGGTAATCATGAGATGGGATTCCAAATATGAAATACCTCTGATTAAAAAAAAAAAATCTAGAGGAAGCCACTGGAAAGTTTATCAATGGATTTGGGATGAGGTATCACCAAAATTCACAAGACATCCGCCTTTAGCTTTCTTTTAACCCTCCTTATTTAACACAGCAAGGCGGTCAGTTACCTCAAGCAGTGCCTTTTTTCGGTCGTGAAAGACATGTGGATTAATAAAGTGAGATTGAATCCAGATATGTCTATATTTACCTCTCCAGTTTTGTGGTGATTGTTTCATTTCACAACAGGTTGCTCTTTTCCTAAAAGGGTTTGTTGAATAGCTTGGAATACACCTGTTTTCAACGAAGTTCAGAAGATTTGTGTTTTGCAGCAGTTACTTACATCTGGTATCTTCTTCTTTGGACTATTGCAGGGATCAGGGGATTCTTTTGAAATTGGTTCAGAAACTTCAGATAGATCAGAATAGGGTGGTTAGGCTACTGACAGAATAGTTGATATGAGCATATCATGTCAGTGTTTTGCTGTTTTCTGGTGTGAATCTGTTCTAGATGCAATTTGGAGAGAATAGTGCTCAAGGCAGGCTGTCTGAAAGAGGCATTACCTGCCACATTTACTATTGGATGATAGGATTTGTACTTGAAGTGCTTCTCTAGATACTCCTGCTAAATGAGAAATAATGAATAGCTTTCAGAAAAAGACCTTTTCTGGTAGTAAGGTCCTGCCTATGCAATACTTTCCCTATAGAGGGAAGATTGTTGTGGTATATTCTGCATCATAATAAAGACATTTTTATTTTGCCAAATTGAGGAATTACTTTGATGATCTATAGTTAAGGTATTTTGAAGATACTATTACTACTGCTACACCTGTGTAGTTGCCATTTCCTTTGTATGGTTTAATATAATGTATTGCTAAAAGCAATATAATGCTTTTATATTGGCTTACCTTTCAGTAAGACTTTTAATGGATTGTATAGAGAATTTCTGTTAGAGGATATAAATATCCATAATTGTTAAAATATTAAGAATAACATTGCAGCAATAGTTCTCTGTTGTGAATTTTTTGGGAGATTAATATGATATGAAATAGGAAGTGATCAAGATAGTTTATTTAAAGGTTAACAGAACATTTAAAAGGCTGAACAATGACAGAAAAACCATAATTGGAAGATCTGATGTTTCTTGATAACAATAAGATTAAACATCTGGATCATAAATGAAAGCAGACTTTAACAGAATAAACATGATGCGGTAACATTAATCTTTGTAAGGAAGATTAACAATCTTCTGCTATCTGAGAAAAACACCAACACCAGCCTGCCTTTTAGCTGTTCTAAATTTTTGCTGTCAATAGTACAATTTCAGTTTCCTCTGTTACTAGTGAATCTAATAGAGAAGGACATTTATTTCATATTTCTGAATTGTAATTTTAGGTATGAGTAATTATTATTGGGCTACAGTAACACAAGAAGGTTGAACAAAAAATATTTTTACCATGTGCTGTATAAAAAAGATACTCAGAAGGTTCACTTCATGGGCAAACTATTAAGTCTCAGTCTTCTCTTCTCCAGGTCTGGACTAGGAATAGTTAAACAAGGAACAAGAACAGAAGTGCTCTGATTAAGAGTATTATTAGAAGAAATGTACTTAATGTTACATATACATAGACATAATTTAGGTGGCAAAACACTTTCAATGTATGGGGGCTAGAAGCCTGCATTTTTTTCTGAAGCAGGGGTCCCTACTTTGATCACTGTAATTCCTTTCAGTGTGCAAACTCTCACATTAGTTCAGTAAAGGTCTACTGAATGACATACTAACATACTGAATTACCGAGGAGTTCTTGGCAGTTTAATTCCAGCCTAAATGAAAAGTCAGTCTGGGCTATAGAACAAAAAGAAATTATTTAGTGTTTTATTCTGTACTGCTGGGATATCCAATTTTCTGAAAAATACTGATTTTGTTTTGAGTACTTAGCTGTTGAACCTCTGGAGAAATAAGTTTTCTTATCAAAGAAGTTTTCCAACTAGTTCTATGGTTTCAAATGCTTCAGTAAATGTTGTTTAAAACAACATACTTTTGAAAATATGGTTTTGCTGCTGTTATATCACCTTTATAACTTCAAATCTGGAGAAAGGAGAAGTGGGTTACAATTAATCAGGAAGGGAAGTTCCTGTGATAATATTCATTTGCTGGTTCATTTAAGCTTAAATACTATTAAATACTGTGAGTGTAGAATTGACTGCTACTTTTCTGGATCAGATAACAGGTTTTTAGACTAGTATGTTTTTGTGTATATGTGTGTGTGTATATGTGTGTGTTTATGTATAATTTGTGTATTTGTGTGTGTGTACAAACACAGACACATATAATAGCTGTCTATTTTATTGATTGATTGATCAAATTTAAATACTACCCATCTCACTTCAGAGCAACTCTGGGTGATAAACAATTAAAAAAACCATGTAAAATATTATGTGTCAATAAAAGGATGAATATCTGTAACTTTATCTTTTGTTTTGTGAAGGTTGCAATCCCCATTGAAGACGTAAACCGCAGTCACCTAAGGTTTACATTCCGGCACAGATCATCACAGGATTGTGAGTAATTCACATCACACACATTGTTATTTTTTTTAAAGCTACTTTAAAGGAGAGATTTCTTTCTAATTTGAACTCCTGTTCTTTTGGCCCCTTGTCTTGATGCCTTTTCCTATGCCTTTTCTTCTTTACACTTCTTTAGGTAAAGCCAATTAATAATATTGGGTATATGCTTCTTAGAGGCTGGTATTTGGGTATTTACAACATTTTATAGAGAAAATAAATTAACTTGCTTATACTGTTAATGGGTTGCTTGATTTTCATTAGTCATGAAGTTTGTGGGAAAGCTTGTTAGCATTTTACTTACAAGCCAAGTATTGATTTCACTTGTTAATGTTGCTGTTTAAAGTTGCTACATTTTTGTAAGATAAACTGGTATTTAGCTTGTTTCATGTTTATTATCAATGCAGTTAATATCACCTTACTAGTTTGTAATAAGAATATGGCTGATCTAACTAATGTTACTGAATCCATTAAAAACATAGTTTCAATTTTTATTGTAATATTGGCAGAAAAATCAAAGTTTTAATTGTGCAATCTTCAGTGTTTATATTTAAAACTTGTAACATTTGACATCTTCATCATGTTTAGTGCTTATGTAATTAAAAAGCTGCTTTTGTTGTAAAATTAATCATTGAATGAAATAATAATTTTAACAGAAAATTTAACAATTTCACTAATGAAAACAAGACACAGTAATTTACTGATGCATTTATGACCATTAACTACAAATTGTTTCAGTAGGAAGCATTTGCATTAAGTTGCAGCAGATAGGGGGTGGCCAGAGTGATTAGATTTTATTTAGATTATTATAATCCTCACACTGTAAGGTTTAGGACTGCTACTACAGTGCTTTCTCATACATCTTTTAAATTGCTGCTGGGTTGATCCGGGTTGCCCTTCAAATTCTCCTTCCTATTTTTGTTTGCACTGCAATTTATCTGCCTTGTCATGCCTCTGTTAGAATCCAACTCAAGGGAGAGGAGGAACAGCTGACAGGAAGTGGGAGTGTGACTCCGGAGGTTGTGGAGAAACTGGGGACCTGGCACAGGCCAGCTGGGCATTCAGAGGAAGACCCAGGCCCATCCCCTCTTCATCCTAGGGCACGCAGGGAGGAGCGGAGAAGGGAGAAATGTGAATGGCGTGGTCTACGGGGGAGGAAAGGGGCTTCATGGGCTGCAGCTGTGAGGACTGTTTAAAAGGACAAACTGCGCATAGGCCAGTGCTGGAAGCAAAGCATGAAAATATTTTTAGTCTGTCCATTCTTATCTGAGTTCTGGCATCCTTTTCAATGTGTGTATTTTGATATCTATGGATGTCTTCAAGCACTTATCCTGCCTGGTCTCCTTAATTGCTTCAGTGTGGTTTGTATTGTTTTTTTCTATTTATATAATTTATATGTATTTTGAGTTTGAATGGAAGTTCTTCCTTTTCGCAACTGTTTGTGGGGAGTTTTTTTTTCCAGTCAGTGATATTTGGACCTTTGAAACCAAGTTAAAGGAATTAAAGGGACTTCATCTGTTTTTTTTTGACTTTGTTGCTTTTGTATCCCACCCTGGGTCATCACATGCCTTCTGGAAAAAGCTGAAGAGCTTTCCTGGAATTTTTTTTCTGGCTCTGGCACCATGTGTTTTAATTGTTTTTACAATTTGTTGTTGTATGGTATTATTTAATGAGCCACTGAGAGTCCTGCAGTTGTGTTGGGATGTTAGTTTAATGAATTAATAAGATTTAATCCTGCTTTACATAAATGTTAAAATATTCTGGTAATGGAAATCAAACTTCATAGCAGAAGTTTATCTTTTGTTCGGCTAAAGTAAAAGTACAGGTCCTATTCAATGTACAGAGGATTGAGGTTTAAGGGGGGGGGGGGGGGAGGTGATACTGATTCCAGAGACACACACCATGGTTGAAGGTTAGAAGGTGGGAAGAAGGAAGGTTGGAAATAGAGAAATTATATATGAAAACACTATAGGTAGTCCTTGCTTAACAACCCCTTGTTCAGTGACTCTTTGGGGTTATGACAGTGCTGAGTGAATAGTACTTACATTCACTTCTTGAATTTACAGCCATTGCAGTACCCTGACAGTCAGAAGATCAAAATTTGGGCATTGGGCAACCTATCCACATTTATGACTACAGGGTGCACTTCAATTCCTCCACTTATCTCCCCCTATCTCTGCCCTTTTGGCTGCTGTGTACTCTGCTGCCCTTGCCACCTTTAATTTCACTACATTTGTCATTGTGTGCTGTGTTGTCTCCTTTGCACTTACCCTTGCAAAGGACCAGCCTGGGTGTGTCTTGTCAGGTGGGAGGAAGAAGAGGATGAAGGTCATTTGGGGCACAGGCACTGAGCACTTGCTTCTACCCTGGCAGCAGCTACCCTTGACCCAACTGTGCTTGCATGGTGCTACAGAAGTTGCTTGTGCACCCTCCTGCCCTGGCAGCAGCCGTCCCCAGCCCAGCTGTGCTATTGCTGCGTGGTTGCTGTCAGGTGGACATCTAGCAGGCTTCTTATGAGCTACCCAGGAGTTGTGTCTTCCTGTTGGTTTCCCTATTTACTTTGCTTATAGGATGCTGGCAGGAAGTTAGGAAGAGATCTTTGCTTAATGACTAGCTTAATGACTTGCTTAACAATGGCAATGGATAATGTTAAGATTGTAATCACTAAGCAGTGCAGTCACATGATGTCATACTTTATGACTACACAGCTTAGTAATGGAAATCCCAGCCCTAATTACCATTGATAACTGAGGACTTATCTGAAGGCATATAACTGCAATAGACAAGTTTGGAAAAAAAAAGTTGCATTCAGTCCTTTAGGGAGAAAGAAACTTGGGGTTGAATGCTACACATGTGTGTGCATGCGTGTGTGTGTTTGTGTGTGTGTGTGTGTGCTCATATACATATACACATACATACACAAAATAAGTGTATCACACACACAAATAAGTGTATACACACACATACAGTATGATTTCCTGTGAGTGTGCTATGTTCTGGAGAGAATTATTGCAAGCCTTTGAAGGCTGCCTTGACAAGACAGAAGAGGCTTGGAAATAATGGAGTGGAGTAGCAACTGCAGAAAGGTTTAGGCTTCTGTAAAATAGCTGTGGCCCTCCTAATCTGCATGCGAATAATAACAGTTTACTGTTTATTACCATTATGAATTGCATGCTCTTTAATTAACAAGATTGTGAGAGGGCAGCTTTTTCAATGTTATTTATTGTTTGATAAATAAGTAACATGTGATTTATTACCATAAAATACTGTTACTTTAATATGAACATGAATAGTTCCTTAAGGGAAAGAATCATTGTTTTGAAACTGTTATTTCTGGTTGAATTATCAGGAAATTATACAGGATGTCAACACATTTGTTCATGTATGCATTCTGAAAGGATTTTTTCATGAGGAAATAAAAGTCCCTGGCTATTAATGTGGTAATTTATTATTTATCAAACTCTGATGCTAGAATAATTAATAGCAAGAATAGTACCTAAAAGGTACGTGAAATGCCATGCTCCTAACAAATCATATTTCGGAATGGGAATTGCTAACAATGAGTAAAGACTTTAGCTCATAGTCAGTTGCCAATAGGGCAAGTGGAGCCTGAACACTTCCTTTTCTTCACCCATCTTTTCTTACTCTTTTTGTCATTAACAAGTTTTTTGACTTAACTCAGTGCTCCGGCCAAGGCTTGTACTATAATGATCTTGTGAGTAGCTTGTGTGACTGTGCCTAAAGCGAGATGCCTTTGAGGCAAAAGTAAAGGACTATTAATATCTGTTTCTCAGTTTTCTGGGTAATTATACATGTGTGATGACTGTGGTGTAGGCTTTGCATGCTTGCAGCCTCTTAGAATTATAATCAGGGCCTGTTTAAGGTTATGTATAACTTTCAGTGGAAGGTGGATTTTGTGTATTTATTCAATGTGTGCAAATAAGCAGTAGAATTTTGACCCATGTTTGTATTTTGAAGCACAATATGTGGTCAGAAGTACATCCTGTTGATTTTAACAGCATTCATTTAATACTTTTACACATATGACTATATGTCAGAGGTGGTATTCAGCAGGCTCTGACCAGTTCTGGACAACTGGTAGCGGAAATTTTGAGTAGTTCAGAGAACCGGCAAATACCATCTCTGACTGGAGATTTTACAGTATCTTTACCCTGCCACGCCCACCAAGCCACGCCCACAGAACTGGTAGTAAAAAAATTTAAATCCCACCACTTTCAGGCTGATAACATTAAGCACAACTGAATTCAAGAAGAAGGTTAGAAATAAATATATCATGAGAATGAAGAAGATTTTAAAGTCCAAATTCAGTTGAGGAAATACCGTAAATGCAATTAACCCCTGGGATGTTCAATCTCTACTTACCAAGGAACATAGGTGGACCTGGAATGTTGCAAGTATGTCAGAAAGTTGAAGAAGAAAAAGGGCATTGGAAGAATGTCTGAAGGCCAGTGAAGAAGATAAACTGAAGCTAGAACATAATAAAGGCTTACTTAGCCTTATATATGGCAGGGCAAGGTATAACATGGCCAAGACATAAAAAAGCCAGAAGGCAAAGCAGATTACAAGACCTGGCAATGGCTAAGAGCAGGAAATTTGAAGAAAGAGACAAAGAGGGTAATTCTGGCTGCACAAGACCAAGCATTAAGAAGTGCATTTAAAGCCAGAATTGAGAAGACAGTAACAGACGTCCATCTCTGCAAAGAAGCAGAATAAACAGTGGACTATTTAGTTAGCTGTCCAAAGAATATTGCACAGACCACAAACAATAGCATAACAAAGTAGCACTAATGGTGCATGGGAATATGTGCAAGAAATACCATTTGCCTGCAAGCAAGAATTGATGGCACCACAAAGTAGACAAAGTAATGGAATATAAAGAAGCTAAAGTGCTCTGGGACTTTTGAATTGAAACAGAATAGTACCTGCCACATAATACTCCAGACTTAACAATTGCTGATAAGAAAGACACAAATGTA